ATGTATATATATGGCGTTAAGTATATATGAGGTGTTTTCATTTATTTATTTCTGTTCATTATATCTTGCTATAGAAATTTATGAAAATATCTTTTCACATTAAAATGTATTACCCATTGGCAAAATAGGTCTTGATTTGGATTTGAAAGCGTCTACACGCTTTTGAACAGTGTTCAAGAGTAATAGTAAACAGTGCGCGTGCGTCGTCATTGCATGCGTTGCTGTGGCGACAGTTGCTGTTTTTCTTTTTTTTTTTTAAATATCAGGCATTTTTATTGTATTAACTTCATAATAATTTAAAGTTTTATTTGTTCTTTTCTATTATTAACGTATAATGACTGTCTTGGATGGTGATTTCAATATAAATAAAGAATGAAGGAAAAAGTATTTTGTGAAACACGTACATGGGGCAGGATATGAAAATCCAAACATCAATTGATGACAGCAACCCATGATTTGAAATGTTTAACGGAGTCCATCCAGAAAAGAAAAAAAAGTATTTGACCCATGGGTATCCTGTGATCGCAATAATGAGATCTCAACTTTTCTTATGCCTTTTTAATATATATTTAGATATATTTTTTTAAAATAATTATCAAAGAAATTATTTTTAGTACATAAAAATATTGAATGAAATATTACATGTTCATGTACTGAAATACTTAGAAGAAGAATGCACTATAACGTGTTTTACATATCCCTAGCAGCAAGATAAATTCAGGCTGAGTAAGGGTTCAAAGGCCCTTTATTTTTCCAATATAGGCCCTACGTAGAATTTTCCAATTCGCCCGATATTTTATGTCCATTATTTATTCATTTTAACCAATTTTTGGGTTAACGACTACTTATGTTCAACTCTGTAGTCTTGTCATTTTGAACCCAATCCAGAAGACAGGGGAACTCCTGTATCAAGTATTGGGGGGACTTTTTGATGGAACTAACTCGCAATTGCGTTACATGGAGTGGAAAACCACGAAAACTTTCCACGGTTAGCCTGACGGAAAGGGGATCTGATATGGAGTCGTTTCCGCTCCTGAAAATACAGCAGAACTTAGAATGAACATTTCTTTTATAATCCCTGCATTTAGGGAGAAGAAACTGAATTATGAAAGCTCAGAGTATTTGTCGAACAGGAAAATGCTTTCCTGTTCGAGAATTCGAATGTTATTTTCGTTTCAGAAAAGATACATTTAAGAACTTACTTTATAGAGCCCGCGAAAAAGGAGGTAAAATAATCAGCACCGAACAACGAACCTGCGAAATTTCGCTCACAAAATTGAAAAAAAAACAATTAATAAAGCTAAATTAATTCCAATTTTTAGTTTTTATTATTGGGCTGGAGTAGCCTGGTTGGCCAGACTTACTTTCGTGAGAACAGGGATACGAATCTAGCCGGTCGAAGATGGTGATGGGTGCACGTTCAATCTATAGGTTCACAAAATCCTCCATGTTCCCATAACAAATTATACCTCTGAGGGTACTGAATTGGAAATGGGTCGCTCTCTGGTTCGGGTCAAAATGATGATCTCTGGATAGATGTATGAATGGGTCCACTTTATAAACGGGTGTGATGTATGGGTGTGGCAGAATCTTAGCCATAGATAGCGCCACTGGAAAACAAGAGCACCCTTTGCTATGATGGCTTACGACAGAAACATTCTTTATTATTTTGCCTTTGCCGGGGACTTTACTTTATTAGATTAAACAGTTCATTCATTTAAAATAAAGCATTCAAAATCATTTGGCATGATGCTGTTGCTCGAGGCCAAATCACGATAGTTTTGAACTTTACCACAATCACGCTCCGGTTTAGATCAGTGGGTTCCCAAATTTCACTCCTCAAAGGGGCGATAAATGGAAATATAATCGAAGATAAATAAAAACATTGATAAAAATCTGGCGAAAATCGAAATTAAAATGTAAAAGAAAACTTTCATTCAGACTTCAGATTAAAAAAAAGTGAAGTAAATTTTAAAAAAAAAAGTATTGCACGTCATATTTCGGGCTTTAACGAATCCTCTCAGAAACAAGAAATAGGTTGAAAGCGAACCTCTGACGAACAGTCAACAGAAAGCAAGTCATTGTAAAGATGAACAACATAATTTTCAAATTTTAATTAGCAATACTTTTGATTCTCCCAGATTCTAATTTTTAAAAAAAAATGTGTACTCCTGTTTTAATTATTTTCCTTCAAATATCTGGTCATTTTTAAAAAAAATTTAAGAATGTTGAAAAAAATTTACATGTTCACTTTTTCTTTTTAAATTTTATTACAGATGCTTATAGCGACAACTCCTGGTCTTTTGAGCTAAAGAAAATAAGAAAGAGAGGGGGGAGAAAGGAGCAATATGGGGGGAGGGAGAACTTCGGACTGGAGAACGTCTTTGTGAATGTTCGAGCTGTGTACTCTAGAATTCACATAATTCACTATTTCCTCAATAGATGGCAATAGTGGTCCTAGTTTTTCACTGATTACGAGAGTGCGGGCTTGTGTGCAGTACCGTGTTTTGGGATAGACCATACTGTAAAAGATTTGTAAAAATTCATGTATTTAAAATCATATTGTTGTATATTATATTATACTAGTTATACCACATTTCGCTTCAAAATTTTGTTCCATTTGCTGTCATTGAATAAGATGTGTGTAATCCATTGCTTTTTCATGTGTATGTAAAAATTATAAATACAGTAGTTATTGCATTTAAAATTTCATTTTTATAATAAAAAACCATTTTCTAACTTTTATAATACAGTATAGAACCCGTTATCCGGAAATCAGAAAACGGGAAAACCAAAAAACCGGAATGAAATTCAATAAATTTTCTCGCCATTTNTTTTTCATGTGCATGTAAAAATTATAAATACAGTAGTTATTGCATTTAAAAGTTTATTTTTATAATAAAAAACCATTTTCTAGCTTTCATAATAATATAAGGAACAAAATGAGGCAATCAAATTTTTCTCACTCTCCATTTTTGGTTCATTTTTCTGTAATATATGTTAAGGAGTTACATAATTGTTGATACATACTTTGACACTAATGTGGCTTCTGGAAACCTTCATGGCTGGGGGTTTGGAAAGGGATCCGATGGACGATCCGTCTATGTGTTGAGAGGAGGGAGTCTTACCCCCAATGTCCACAGATTTCCTCAGATGTTCTTCTCTCGGAGGAACACACAGCAGTGGTTTAGAGACCTGGGAACAATCACGTGAGTTCGGTACACAGTTAACATAGGGACTAGAATCATTGCAATTCAATACTACAAATAACGTTAAAAATGAAATTTCGTACCAGAGTTTTTTTGTTTTTAGACATTTATATTGGAAATGTCTAAACCTCGATTCTATGTAAAATCTTAATTATCAGTTGAAACTATACAGCTTTATTGTTTGTACGCGGTTGTTTGCACTTGCTTGCGTTAGTGTATCAATGAGTTAACATTGTAATGAAATACTGCAAAAATAAATACAATTAGGAGGTATACGAAAAATCTCCTGAATAAAGACTCATGACATGTATATTTAAATATAAAAGTATTGAATATAAACGCGTGCGAAACGTGTCATTAAAACTGCAGTGCGTCTATTAATTGGGTCTAATTAATATAATATACTAATATAATACCTGATATAATGAATATTATATATTTAAGTAATATATCGTCTGATTTATTTTATATGTCGTCTCATTTAACCCATTGATACACGAACGTAAACAAGTTCAAACCGGTTTCTGTCGAGTTGCTGTATTAGCATCACCTGATAATTAAGATTTTACATAGAATCTTACAGTGCGTCTAATAATTTGGCCAGGGACTGTAGAAAATGAACTTTAAGCAGTGGAATATCTTTAATTTACCCGATGACCTGTTGCCACTTTTCTGATAACCTCATAGGGCTGAGGTGCTCATGGAACTAACACTCAACGCTTTGCGGTTATTGTTATTACCAAAAGTTTTACCTTTTATAAAGTCTTCGAAACAAGTGAATTTCGAACGTGTTTCTAGAAGGGCATGAATTGCTCCGCATAGTTAGAATTCGAATGGAGGGTTTGAAATTTTTCTTCAACACCGCTCGTTATCTACCGAACTCGATTTTTGGGAATCATTCCCTATTTCCAAAATTCTTATGACTGATCATAATGGCATCCTACCGTTTCCCAATCTTTAGAAATCTATTCTAATTTAATCTGTTGCACCCTGGAGGAGCTCTAGTTCAATTTTGTTCCTCTATCCCTATTGATTGAAATCTTTACTTCCTCCTCTGACATCATGTGCTACTGTCTAGAAAATCTTTTACAAAATCGATTTCTGTACTTTCATATTGTTCATCATTATAACGTTGCTAATGATTAGAATTATGTATAATCTAAAAATAAGGAAATATTTGTATTGAGATATTAAATGTCTATTAACCGGTAAAACATTAAAATGGCCGATAAAACTTTTACTTAAGTGGCTTGGTCAAAAGTAGACTTTAATATGATTTTTCCGAGCGAGTTGCCAAACCACTTTGGTAAATTTCAGGTTTTACTTAGGTTTGAGTTACAATAACAGAGACGCTAGCTTTGTATGCACTTAATTTACATACAACGTAATACTAAAACTACGAACATTTGTGTGTGTATGTGTGTGTGTTAAGAGGCTTGCTATAAAATATTACGTAACTCACGTAATATTCTGTAAAAATGTCTCCGTCAGACATCCCTACTTGTTTTTTGCTTTAGTACACCTCTTAAACTGTACTTAAGTATGCCAACTATATTTAAATATATGGGCGATTATAAAGAGAGTGCAACTTTAGGTGCGAAATTGAGTTGGGTTCATGTTTGTGTTTAATCTCGCCGATCGAAGAATTCCCGCGCATTGAATAGTGATGGGTGCACGTTAAATCTGTCGGGGTCACAAAGTCTTCCCACATCTTATTCACAAATCAATACCTCTGAGGATACTGAATTTGAATGCGATCGTTCTCTGGCTCATGTGAGATGGATGATATGTGGATGAAGTATGATTGAAGTCTTCCCTGTAAAACGTTCTGTGACGTGTGTGCGACTGAAGTCGTGTTTTTGGCCAATGAAGAAACAAGAAACGAATGCAAGTGTCTTAAAAAATTCACTTGATTTAACCGGGCTTTCTGGTATTGGCATAAGTAACAACAGATGCCAAACTTTACTCATTTAAATAATCACTCAATAACCGTGTTTGTTTGGAGCAGAAAATAGATTCCCATTGAAAAGGCTCCATTCTAGCTGCTAATGAAAATAATTTATTATTTCTTCTCTCTAAGACATTATGAGGAGCATTGAGAGCAACATCCACGTGACAAGTTATCCGTACACTTTAAAATTTTCCCCCTCCCTGTTACCAAATTTTGTTTTTCCCCGTATCAGTAAGAATATACTAGCGTGGAGAAAAAAAAAACAAGATGGCGGATACCATGATAAGGGAAATGAGACACCTATTCCATTTCGAACAAAGCATTCTCATAATAAAAGTTATGATGTTGTAGTTCATTTACGTCGTACTAGAGCTGCATAATGGGCTATTAGCGACGGTCTGGGAACCATCCCTGAGGAGGATCCGAAGACATGCCATCACAATTTTCGATCCTCTACGGAGGGGATGGCACCCCCTCTTCGGTAACCCGACGACCTGAACGCGAAGTCGAGCACTTTACGGTGGAACAGTTTAACGAGTACCCTCGGTCCCTACGCAGACTCATCTAAGTGGTCACCCACCCTCACACTGACCGCATCCAGTGATTGGTCGACTTCGGTGATCTGCTGAGAACCGTGTCCTAACGATCAGTTCACTGCGGGACTTAAAAGTTATGAAAAATATAGATTGTCTATGGGAAGAACTCCTTACGCGCTGTTGGTGACTATGGTATGTTTAGGGTTAAGTAGGAGTTAAATGAAAGAGCAGGAAAAGTTTACCTCATCTAAGTTGAGGGTAGAATGGACACCAGGTTCCGTATTCAGTTGAGTCATTGATTCCATCCCTCCACACTAAAAAATAAGTGAAAAAAAAGTCACAGTTTTGCTAGACATTACAAGTGTTCACTTATTTTGTCTAAACAGCCTCCTCATTTGAAACCTTGTGTCTTCTTTTAATTGTCACGGAAATGTTTGAACCTTTATTCAACAGCAAAGCAAAAAAAATTGCTGTTTCAAACCTTTCATCCCGATAGGATTAAAAAGTTTTTTTTAAAAAGTAAAGTGCACTTAGGTAAAATGGTCACCTAGGTCCATCGTGACGTTTTACCTTACGTCACACTAGTGATAGGATCAAATTGCCTTAAAATTTCATAACTTGGGTGGATTTTAACTACGCATACAAGACTTAGCGAAGATAAACCTTATATTGACCTAGATTTAAGATTATTTTCACTTTGAGAGACTAGCTTCATGAATGGGTTTCTTCACGCTTGAAAACCCAAAGTCAACCTTGATTTAAGGTTTTTATAGAGGAGGTTGTCTTCCAAGATTTTGGAGGAGGGTCATGTGCGTGGAATAGAGTATACACAGATCTCCTTTTAAGGTTAGGCACGTAAGCCGCATAACAAACCTTTTTAGGTTTACATTAAAAGGTTTTTGCTGAGGGAAAATAATTGTTTTTTTTTTGCCGTGAGAAATCTAGACACACTATTAAAAGTTTGCCGATCTTCCAAATATAATCTTATATAGGAAACAGTTTTCTCTTATTTAAAGGGATTTTATTCCTCTCCACTGGAATATTCTTTATAGAAAAGTCAGATGTCATACCAAAGGTTAAATTTTAAAAATTGTGACAACTGTCCTCTCTATAATTATTGAATTTTCTTTGCATTAATATTTTATTTATTTATTTGAATAAAGTTGCGTTATCTTCATTTTTATATCGGAGTTTCAGGATAGGCTCCATACGAGGGAGGGTATACAGGGTTGCTCTAAGATAATGGTGGTTAAGCTTGCTAATGTATTTTTTGCACAGATATGTGGGAAAATGTTTTTATAACTACGCTTCTATACATTTGTATTGTTGTGAAGAAGCACATGGCATAAATAATTTTTTTTCCTCCTTCGTTTGTGCCTAATTTTAGACCCAACACTCCTATGCCAAAAACTAAATAAGTAAATATAAATTAGCAAGCTTAACTATCTTTTTGCGTTTGCCCCAAATGTAAAAGGCAAAGTTCTCCCATTTTCGCATTTCATATGATGCTAAAATTTTTATCCTTATGCGATGAAAATTTCGATATTTAGCAAATAGCCTAAAATCGACAGTTCACGGTTTTACCTAAATAGAAGTCTCAAATTTGCTCCTTATGAGATAACAGGAAAAACTAAAAAAATATTCCTTTCAATATTTTGCCGTTATTGGAGAAACTAACCTAATTCACAGAGGTGTTTAATAACACATTCTTATCAAAGTGGAAGTCTCAAATTTAGACTATGGTCTACGGCAGAGGTCGCTAAAGTGGTCTATATAGACCCCCAGGGGTCTATTTAACAAAAGCGGGGGTCGATCTGAGCCAGGGGGTCTAATGGGGGTCGATCCGAACCGGAAGGGTCAATTGGTCGAAGGATTATCAGTATTTTTCAGATATGTGACAATTAGAAATAAAAGAAGAAGATTTGGAAATATATACAGGTAATCAACAAAAATTGAGCGACGATTTTAAACTGCGGTTTGTTGATTTGCAAAACATTGACATCCCTGATTGGATGATTGTGCCAATTTCTGCTCAAATTGAAAACGTAGACATCAACCTGCAAGATGAACTTGCTGAATTATTACGGGGATTTGAAGCAAAGTCGCTTTTTAATTTTGGAAAAATATAAATATAATGCTCAGCCATTTATTATAGCATTTCCAAGTTTCTATATGGTTGAAGCCGGTTTCAGTCACGTAAATTCAATCTTAACTAAG